ATACAGCGATTTTCTCTATGAAAGATGCTTTTCTAATACTTACCTTAGCTATTCCAAGACTGGGTAAAACTAGTATCCTAGAAGAAATAGCAAATCTTCTAAGACAATGAATCACGACTGTTGTTATGAAGCAAGGAATACACAGAAAGACTAGCTGTTTGAAATATAATTAGCCTAAAGGGAAAAAAATTAAAGAGCATTACTTTTAAATTGCCTTCGTACTGCATATTTTGTGCTATCCTGATGGCCATTATCTGTTCTAAAAGTAACATGACTGTGACAGAAATTTGCAGGAACAAAACTATTTGCAATTTACGATACACTGGTGATGAATAGCTAAATATCGATTAAATTGTTACATACATAATATAATTCAAGAAAGCAAGTTACTAATTAATAAAGAAATGTGTCATTGAATGATTTCTATCTCAATGCAATTATATGTTGAAAATAAAGCTAATGTTTACTGACAGCAAGTCACATTTAAGGGACCAAAGAGCCGCAAGGTCGTGAGCTAAAGTTAAGGTGCCGGAGAGCCGCAGTTTGGCCATGATTGTTATATAAGGTTATATTCTGATGTTGAAGAAAGCATGCGTTTGCATGCGACTTCATTGCATGCTGAAAATTTTTTGTTAATTTTTTAAATAAACAGCTGCTGTGGACAACTTTTTTGTTTCAGATTAGGATAGCTGACAGGATATATTATTGCCACATTAATTCTTTTATTGATATTGAAAAAAAAATTGTTATATTACATTAAACTTAAATCATGACCTCATAGGCATACCAGTAGCGTCAAAAGTTTTTGTTTCCTCGTTTGGCAACCAGAAAAATTATTTATGAATTGGTTGTTTCTTGGAAAGAGTGAACGGATTTCATTAATATTGAAATGTTTTTATACATTTTTTTTTTCCAGATGTACATAGAACTTATAAATTTTGCTTTGGCTGCAGCCTGCTCATCTGGCAGTCTTGCCCACTAGTTCATATATAACCACTGTGTCTAAGCAATGCAGTCCATATTCAATTTATATTCTATTGCATATAACGGGCAAGTTATGTTAATATATATGTTGGATATTAAGGCACAGTATTTAGCTTATACCATGGAGGTAGGAAGTAAGATGGAGTTGCCCTAAACAAGTTTCTCCCGTACCCTGCTTTGAAGCACCGGCGATCCCTACGTGGTGACCAAAACATTGGGTCATTTACCATTGAGTTCTATGGGACTTGACGCATTCGGATGTAAATATTTTGTAATTACGTCGTAAATATACATATAAATGTATATATTTTCTTTTTCTACAACACTTCAGAGTCCTAAGTATGTGAAAACAAAATATTTTTAAACAACATTTCATTCTGAACGGAATTAAATGCTATACTTTTCACAGGACAGTTTTCTCAGAATGGTTTAATTTGAATGAAATATTTTCACAAGTTTTCGTTAATTACATTAGAAAAAAAAATTAAGGTAATTCGGTTAAGGTACAAAAATTAAGATCAAAGTTTATTGTATTATTAATATTAAAATTATGCATTATTTCTTTTCTATTTATAGAGCTTCTTCCTAAAATACTTTCTTAAATATGACATGATTTTTTGGCTTCTGAGGCATCTTTTAAATCGAAAAATGCAAGTCAATTTATAATTAATGCTCTATTCGGTTCATTTTAAATTAGAGAATTATTAGGAATTAAATAGTACTTGACTTTCTCTGAACATTTCTGAAAGGGAATAATTTTTTTTTTTTTTTTTTTTTTTTTTTTTTTTTAAAGTATTATTTAAAACTTGTAACTGAGTTATTATAAAATGTAAAGGGAATAATTCTTTTAATTATACTTATCAGATTTTTTTTTTAACCCTTCATTTCAACACTACATATTCCAAAACTCTTTATTACGTTCTTAAGTGCGCATCTCATAGCATTTGCTTTACAATACCTTTTAACAGATTGCTTTCCAATACGAACAGTTCTTGCTTAAATAGTTTTATAACGTATTTGTCATCAGGATTTCAATTTATGTTTACAATTCAATATTAAGGTTATTATATATTTAGATAGCATTTATAATCATTATAAATTAGATACATTTAATCATTAGATTTCTTCACAGTACTTTCACAGTTGTTTATAAGTGAATAAATTCTTCATTTCAAATACATTTATAAATAATTTAATGAATATTTAAGTATTTTGTCAAAGGCAGATACATGCGTTTTGCAAGCACATGCATAAATACCCATACATATTTCCTATTTATCATTTCCGGCATGTGCAAATCTTTAATTTCTGTGCATTCGCTATATTTTACGTGTAAAGTAATTTACACTAATTTAGCATACACCCGAAAGTTTTACATAAAAAATATATATGAATATAATTTGAATGAAAATTATAAGTATTATTTTTAATACCCACTCAAAGGTAAGTTTTTCTTCAAAATTCCTCCACGATGGCATCTCTCTCTTTAGGCAGATAGCCCTTGCATGCGTTACTCTATTTAATAAAAACTTAATCTGACCTACGTGCCTAATTACAAATATTTTAACATACATAATTTTATATTTATAAAACGTGTAAGCCCAAAGTGATTATTTTTCAGATATATAAAATTAAAACGATGGGTTTAAAATGAGCAGCAGTAAAGCCTCTCCTCTAAAAAATTTTAAAAGGTACATGTTACAATAATATATGGATGTGAAAAAAATTTGTTTTATTTAAAACATTTTGACGTTTGGAAAGTAAAATAAAAGTAGCGAATACTCTGTCAAGGGTATCGAATGACGTATACAATTTTAAATGTACCATTCTTTAAGCATAACATTTTTCTTAAAATCTATATTTTTGTAGTGCAACAGCTTAGAATTTTATAAAACAAATTCATAATCAAAATCCCGCTGTTGTTAGTTATCGAAAAATAACCAAGATGTGATTTTGCGTATGTCGAAATACTATTAGAATCTTGTCAAGCGAGCTTCTGAATGTAAACAAAGAACACCCCATCTGATGACCGAAGCTTCAAAGCAGTGTTTCACTTTTAGCGCGGGTTGGCCCCTCCTCCCTTTCCTACCTCCATGGCTTATACACAGTATTTATCTTATAGCTTGGTAGGATTATATGATTGTTCAACCTCTACCTCATATTGCAAAGTTGGATTTGATGACTTTTCTTGTTTTTACCTAAGAGCACTATAATCACTTTTATTTAATCAAGTATGTCTACTAGGGAGAGATCAACATTTACAGTTTACTACTGTTCATACTGAAATGAAAGAAGTGCATATAGATTTTTATTTGAATTTTGCATGTTTACAAATTTGCTTTAATTAAAATGTGCTCAGAAATCATTTACCTATGTTAGCCACAACTACACTGGTTATCATAAATTACGGAAAAATCACAAAAATAGCGATAACTCCCTCAAAAATAAGCCAAATTGTGTAAAATTTGAATATATTGGCAAGCCAGAGTAGCTGAATAAATCTGCAATATGCAAATCAGTGGTGCTGCACTCAGAGTACGTCATCTGCGAGGAGCATAAAAGTCCATGTTTGAGAGTCGCCCACATATTTCACTGTGATAGTAACATCAGAAATCCGAGATAGCCAATCCGTAACATTGACCTCCAGGCATCATTTGTCTGCAGAACTACAATGGAAAGCCATTGGGATACTAGAGGCAGGACAAAGTCCAACAGAAGTGACCAGATGGTTAATGTGAGTCCTTCTGTAGTTCATAGACTTTGGTGGCGATTTCAAACCACAGATTCGGCATCTTGGAGGTTCAGCCAAGGACGTCCAACTGCTAGGACGAGCGCCGATGGCCTGCAGGAATGGAACCACTACTCCAACTCTTCTTAGATCCTCCCTTGCTGCAGCCACTGGAAGGTTAGTGTCAACGTCAATTGTGCATAGAAGGCTTCACGAAGGTAGTCTGTATGCGAGACGACCACCCATTTGCTGCCGCTCATGTCATGCCATAGGAGGAGGGACCGTTTGCAGTAGGCACGAGAACATGTCCACTGATGCCTGATCAATGGAGGACAGTTCTCTTTACGAATGAGTTCAGGTTTAGTCTAGAAAGCGATAATAGGCGTAATTTGATATAGAGAACCTGGAACCCGTTATCATCAGTGAAAAGAGATGCATATGGAAGAGGCAGTGTCAGTGTTTGGAGTGGTATCTCTTTGGGTAGACGCACAGACCTCCATGTCTTTCCAAGGGAAACCATGAATGTTCCGGTTTATAGAGATGACATCCTTTATGCTTATGTGTGCCCATATGCCGGGGCAATAGATGATGCTTTCCTGTTACAGGATGACAACGCAAGACCACACAGGGCTCACATCATAGATGATTATCTTCAACAGAAAACAATTATGCGCATGGAGTTGACAGCTTGATCCCCGGACTTGAATTCTATCAATCACATTTGGGATGCTTTAGGAAGACGCCTAGCTGCTCTCAAAATGTCCCCTTAGACCCTTGCCGCACTTGCAACTGCTTTGCAAGAGCAATAACTCTCGCTTTCTATGGAACTGAAAGAGCGCATAAATGAAAGCATCACACATCGCTGTATTGCTTTTAGAGGCGACCATAATACATATTGAAGGTACTTTTCCTATAGCAAACTGAAACTTTCAATTTGTTCATTTTATACATGTGCTAATTTCTATACTACCATAATTGCCTGGTAATTTATTTTTATGTTATTTGATACCTTACTATGTGTTGTATATTGTGGGTATGTTTCATAAAATTCTACATGTAACTTTTTCAGTAATCTTGATTTTTGCGATTTTTCCTTAATTTATGATAACCAGTGTATATGCAAACTCAAAAAAAAATTTCAACTGCATACATCATCTCTTATCATATAAAATATATGCAACTGAAAATATGATCACATAAACAAATAGCTAATTAAAGAAAATAAAACTAAACATAAATTTACTTTATGATATATATTCAAAAACTTCGCAAAATTCATTCAAAAGGATTCTTTAATAAAGGACATTTATTTACGACTTGCACAGTACAATTATATAAATAACAGCACCTTTTCATTTTAACAACCATTATGTACATATGAACAATACCACCTCTCTTAGAAGCAGCCATGAAAAGTCAATGAAAAGATGCACACATAATGAAATTTCATAACTTTGAGAAATCAGGGCTGTTATGAAGCATTATCAAATGAAATTAAATAAATGTTCTAACATTCTGATCTTTATCATAACTGTTCTTTCTGATGGGACCTTTATGTCATCACAAGGAAATTTTTCACAAATGTTGCTGAAATTTGCATATTTTCACATTCCAGATACCAATGTAGAGATCATCCTATGAAAAAACACAATAATCAAAAATTTAAAAAAAAAAAAAAAAAAATGACACTGTATGCATCACAAATAAAAACAATATATGAAGCAATTTCCAAAATGTAAGCAGATTTCTGACAAAGTATGTTAAAACAACTCTGCAAAAGTTTTCTCTATACAGTTAACTGGATTACTATAACAAATTCATTAAAAAGAAAAAATGAATTTGTAAATTTAATCGACTCTTCATTATGTCAGAAAAAACATAAATTCCAATGAAAATTACATGCAGAATTTTACTGTACCTAGGCAAAGCTATCCTGGCAACATTTTGAAAAGGTGGTGTAACTGACTTGCTTTTTCTCTCATACTAAGCATTATTTTAAAATTGTTTAATTATTTAAGCATTATTTTAAAATTTATTTTATTATAATTTTTACCACATTTAGCTATTTATTACGAACTTTCAAATCCATTCTATTTGTTGCTTTGTAATCACCTGCATTTCTCTCTAGATGCATGTGGCAAACATATCGAATCCACAGGCCACAGCAGTTAATTTTCATACCATATGCTTCAGTTTTAAAGAGATTAAAGAACAAAAATTACACATAAGATTCTTAATGGAGTCCAGCATTAAAACATTACAGGAATTCAAATCCAAAATTGCATTTTATAATTTCTTTAATGAAATTTCACAAACAGGCTGCTTAAATTAAACTGGAGTCCATACCTGTTACTTGTGTTGTCCATTATTATTATTTGATATCTGTTCTGGCAACCTAGTAAAGCTGCACATGTAGACCTCAAGTTTGTGGCCCAACTTATTAGCAACATTTCTGAATGTTATTTTGCTAGAAGTTCCATTAAACTTTTTCTTAATAAAATTTCTACATTTTATTAGTTTATTTCATCAATTTTCAGTTTGAGTCTATTAACAATATGGAGGAAAACGTATTCATTTTGCAAGAAGTATGAGAAAAAATGTATACATTCGTCTTTGATAAAGTGACATATGTACTATTTATGCTATCTGTCTTGACCAGCATTTCTTAAACTGTGTTCCACATAACTGTGGGGTTCCATAAAGATCACTCAAGGATTCCATTAAACTTATAATGATTTTTTTTCCATAAGATTCAAGAACGTAACTTAAAAAAAATTAACATCTCTATGAAATTTAAAGAAGTAGAATATAAACTAACCCTCACTTCTACTTACTAATCTCAACAGCCAAGTTGCAAGTTGTGACGGTGTCTTCAGAATAGTTTTTGATATTTTATAGCAGTTGCATTGGGGAATCACCCAGAATCCCAGTATCATTGAATTTCTAGTTCATTTCTTTATTGATCTCTTTACATGAGGAATCCCCCAATTTTAAAAATACAGAGAAATCTCATATACTCAAATGTTAAAAAGTGCTGCCGGTAATTGGGTGCAACAATTAATTGTGATGTTTGTCTTGTAAAATATAAACTGATTGAAACATTTTTACTTTTTACTTTATTTAATTTTATTAAAGATTTAGTTTTATTGATAAAATTTACTGGTTCTTATAGCATCACATCACACACACTCTTCTGTAAGTTTTTTGAACTTCAAGAAACACATCTCTGGGGTTATAATACAGAGTATAAAGAAATCCAACCAGGATAACAGACAACAATTACACACACAGACATAAGGGGATTCAAACCATTACTTATTAACTTGCAACAAATTGATGTAGCTTGCTGAAAAATGTAAGAAGATTAAAACTACTGAGGAAAAGTTTCTGCTTGCACTTAGTATCATTGACATGACTGCAGAAGTAGAATTTTAAATGTCTGCTTCCATTGTACGATGAATTCTGATTCGGACTTTCTCGCCCCTTCAGATTACCCCTGATCAAAAACTGCTCACATTACGTGTTTATTAAACAATATTCTTACTGAGCACGACAGGTCACGTTCCACATAATACTCATAGAATATCATTGTTATTTATTAAGTATCATGTTATCCAGAGCATATGGAGATAGGATATTACATCATGTCTTCCGAGTTTAAAAACCTATAAATTGTATTAATATGCAAAGGACAACACAGAGATGAGAAAATCGTGTGTGTGGTCCCTGCAAATCACTGTTTTCAAGCTTTTACGATATGTCACACGAGATGGTCTGACATCGTGGATGCAATAATTCATTCCAGTTGACAGTACACGACATAACGTCACGAGGACTATACTCAACTATAGTAACTGTTCTAAGTTATCCATGAATTATATATATGTAAAATAAAAAAAAAAAAAAATACGATGGCTTTGCTCTTTGCGAACCAGCAACCTTTAATTACTTTTCTGCAATTCAGGATCGTCCCCTAACCCAGTACCTGCTAGAACATTCACGCCTATTACATAACCTCCTCATATAAATGCTGCGTCATAAGTTTTTCTACATTTTTCTAGAAGCTACTCTGTTACATAACCATTCATATAAATGCTGAGTCATAAGTTCTCCTAGACAGATGCCTTCTCGCCTTCGTCCTGCTAACGCTTCCGCTATGCTCCTCTTTCTTTGTTAGAACGTTATGATGTATTAAAGTTTAAAGTCAGTCGTATCTAATAGTTCAATTACTGAATAAGTTATTTGATTAACTTCATCTGGAAAAAGTCATCTGCTATAAATTAAAATAAAGATATGCTTGCTGTTAAAAGTGAAAAGTCCTGAGTCGTCATTTTTCTCCGTGTTTCAATCATCCCAGCTTCGTCAACCATCTGCCAGAACGTGTAATGGAATAGCCTCACCATTCGCCCACGATGTGTTGGAATAACTGAAAACATTACAGTTATTAATTAGCCGGCAGGATTTATCCTCTACGTGGGAAAAAAGCTCCTGGATTTATTTACTAACGCGCTTCTAAATTCAACAGTGGGTCAAGGACAGTGTGTGATCGTCTGATGCTTTTGCTTCTTTTCCGGCGATTGCTTAAGTGTTTTTACTTCGTCTCCAAAGTTATGCGTTTTATCAAGTGCTTCTAAAGTGATTGATTTTTAGTGTTCAAATTGATGTGTATGCGAACTCTTAAATTCAAGATTTTGTGATTGGAATGTTAACACGCTCAAAAACGGCAAAAATGTCAACTGATAAGAAAGAATCCGTAGCTATTGTGGATACAATGAAATTTCAATTTCCCTATTTTTGATGGCACAAGTACAAATTTTCCAATAGACAAATATCTTCTATTGTTTGAAGAGAAATGTGCCGCAAAGAACATTCCAGAAAAGGAAAAGAAATTTGTTTTCTCAGAGTGTATTAGAGGAGAGGCTTTAGCCCTCTATTTACGTGATTGTTTAGATAAAGACTGGGACAACATAAAGGATATTTTCGAGACATACTTCACAACATCGGAATCTGTTACTTTTAGTGATTTTGTGTCTTTAAAATACGAGAAATTTAATAATATTGATGTTTATTTTCGTAATAAGTTGAAATTAGGAGCCAGCTTGAAACTAACAGATTCCACAATGGTGGAAGCACTTACGGAAGGACTTCCTGAGTCTCAAAGAATGCTGTTAACAGTGCAAAAAATAGACACACACCGAAAGACTGGATTACTCTTGCTAGGAAACTGTTTCCAGTTCAGATGCCGTTGGATGGTCTAGGAAATAAGTAATTACCAATTTGTTTCTCCAAGGCAAACTGTTCCGAGGTGCTATTATCCCAGACCAGTGCAAGCCACTCCTTATCAAAGTTTTCGTAGTGTGAGACCTTTTAATTATCAACAAGTGCAATACCGACCTCTACAGTATGCGTATCGGCCAATTCGATATCCACAATTACCTGCTATTAATTATAACACGGTTCCTAAAAGAGAAGTTAAAAAATGATATTACTTTAAAGTGAATGTCCAAATTGGACAGGAAAAAATTCCCAGTATTATTGATACGGGATCGCAAATTAACGTTTTACCGTTAAAATATTTTAACAAAATTGGTGATAAATTTAGAGAAATTTCATTGAAATCTCATGATAAAATATTTTCAATATCTAGTCAAGTTCATATAGAGAAAATAATCAAAGTAAAGTGTAAAGTAGGTAAAATAGAAAATAATGTGATATTTTATGTAGTAGATTCAAATTTGAATTATTTATTGCTTTCATCACCATGTGTTTCATTATTTAAATTACAATTGAATTTTCATAATTATGAAGTGTATCAGCTTGGAAAACAGGTAAGTAAAAATGTTAAAGTAGACAAGTTTTTCCAAAATAATTATGTATGTAAAAATGATATCAGTGCTGAACAATCTAGTAAATATTTTGATAATAGCGAAAATTTTGTATGTAAAAATGATCTTAGTTCTAAAAATTGTGGTAATTATTTTGAAAATAGTAAAAATTCTGATAGTAAATTACAGAAATTGTTGAATGATTATAACCATATATTTGCAAAAAGTAAATATGATGTTGGTTGTATAAGGGTTGAACCTCCCAGAGTTATATTAACTTCTGAATTACCAATAGCCTATAGACCATATAGAGCATCTCCTAAAGATAATAGTGAAATTAAAAAACAAATAGATGAATTGTTAAAAGCTGGAATTATTAAACCTTCTTATAGTCCTTATGCTGCTCCTGTAACTTTAGCTTATAAGCGAGACGAGCAGTCCAGAAGCAGATTGTGTATTGATTTCAGGAAGCTTAACCAAATTACTAAAACTGATTCTGAACCTATTCCTAGAATTGATGCTGTATTAGATCAATTAACAAATGCAAAAATCTTTTCTACATTGGATTTGGCATCAGGCTATTGGCATATAAAATTAAATGAAAAGGATACTGAAAAATTGGCATTCACTACAAATTTTGGACTGTATGAGTTTACTAGATTACCTTTTGGTTGGAAAAATTCCCCAGCTGTTTTCCAACGAGCTCTTAGACAAATTTTAAACAAATATCAGATTCAATTTGCTTTAAATTATTTTGATGATATTATAGTATTCTCTCCAAATTTTGATGAACATTTAAATCATCTTAAA